CACCTTTGGGACAACCATGACTTGGATGATTGAATAATCTCCATAATCTAAGATGATTCAGAACAAGGGTTGGGCACTCTTTTAATAAAACGCTAGACCAGAATTCAAAAATAGCCTGCGTGATGCACATCCCTTCTTCTTCGCCTCTGGTGCTTGTCATTTGTGGTTTGGGTCACTGGAGATGGTGGCTAAACTGATTGTTCTTAGCACATTCCCACGTTTCCATCCTTGCCCAGCCCAACTTAAGAAGAATGACGGGTTTCCTGCCAGCAAATGACACTCAAGAGGGAAGAGTAATAAAGGCAGGAAATCCACCAATAACTTGTTTCGAAATAAATAAGGGCAGCACCATCACTTGCTTTGTTTGGGGGGTGGGGGCAATAGAAATTTGGGGGCCATGGCACTGCCCTAATTTTCACTCAGCCATCTTGAAGAGCCCATTTTGCCCCTACAGGACATTTTAAGGATTTTTTTTTTTTAAAAAAGACTTCTGAAATAACACAGGACACACGAATGACATCTGTTTTAAGAATACATAATCTATACAGTGCCTGTTTACTTACCAATGCTAATTTCCATTTGATTTGTTTTCATATAATATTCTATGGCAACGAATGCCAAAGATTTTCATAAAATTGGAGGTCCTGGAGCTGAATAAGCAGGACATGGCAGGAAAAAGGTTCAAGGTTTCAGGCTCTGTGTTGACATCTAGTGGCCACCCAGATTTTTGTAGAAGACTGTCTGAAGCCTTCTCAATATAAGATCCAACCTTCTATGCACGTTATACATCTAGTAGCCCAAAAGCACACATATTATATCGTACCATCATCCTATTCTTCCAAAAACAGTGCTTTCATGACAAAATGTAACACAGAATATCTGATGTAGGATTTATGGTTTAATCTGAAGGGCATCTGCCATTTTTCCGGAATGCAACTGAATAAAGCCAATTCATAGTTAATATCAATTTAGCAAAATTTGGCCAGGCTTGTATTATTCCACCTTTGTCTGCTTTTAAGCCTAGCTTTACTAAATCTAAAGCACACAACACACATATATGATTAAACACATATTGTCCAGGAATATTTAAACAACCATTTACTGCAATCAAGACATATTGCTATGAAAAGAAATCTGGTCCAAAGGACAGAGGACTTCCAAAAACAGGCTGCAAAACCCATTTTCCTAGGTTTTTCCAGCTCCAAGATACAGCATTTTGTGTTTAAAGAAAAATCAAGCTGTGCTAGCAATTTTGTGATCAAACCCCACCCTTTTTGTGTGTGTACTAAATAGTAAAATAGATAACATCTGAATGGAAATCAAATCTGAATGCGCTTCTTAATAGTAATAGTTGGGTGCAAACTGAGAAATGGATATTCTGATTCTGTTTTCAAAACTTAAATTCACAAAGCTGGCAAACATTTCTGCTTTTCACGCTGAGATGAAATCCTAATATACATGAAAGAAGTAAAAAATACATGGAAAGTGGTAGAATGCTGCTTCTCATTTGTTCGTACGCAGTATTTTAAACGCTTCTGACAATAACATGACAAGCAATTCTTTCTGAAATGTGATTGTTGCTGCAATCGGTCTTTTTCATACTTGACAATCAGTTATTAAAAAAAAAAAAGTTTCCTGAGCCATTCAGTTTTTATTTGGCTGTCATTTCATAAGAATTTGTTCTTTTAATAAATGTTCCCATTTTCACTGTTCTTCTATGCGAAGCTACAAAGGGTTAGTTATCAGTAAAGATCGTTCTGAAATGTTGTATAAGCTTGTATAAGATCTTTTAGGAAAAAAAAATATATCTTGGAAGCGTTCCACCAGTTTAGAAGGCCAATTTCTTGACAGGTGTTTGCATATCTGTTCTTATCTGCTTCTTTGTTGTGTAATAATCTGAAATAAATAAATAAATAGAAAATCCATACCGGCAAGTAATAACAAGAAGAGATACATGAAAAGTTTTCTCCAGTGCGAGCAAGATGGAAATCTTATGAAAAAGGAGATGGTAATTTTTTTTGGGGGGGTGGGGGGGTGGGGAGGGGAACAGGTCAAGATATGCATTGCTATATTTCTGGAAACGCCCCCCCCCAAAAGCCAACCCCCAATTATATTTCTGAATTTAAAAAAAAAATCAGCCTGAGAAATGACTGGGTTTCCACCAAGGGGTTTGCACGGGACCGAAGCAAGGTCAAAAGAGTCAAGATGGCCGTTGAGACTGTACAGTTAATACCTTTTCTGCATATGCATCACAGATGCCTATAAAAAAGGGATCATAAGATTTTTTTCTAAAAGAACGGTTCAGGTAAAAAAAGGAGCGGAGATTCAGTGTGCACCTACAGCCGCCATCTTGACTTTTTTGACTTCCCCATGGACACCCGATGTTTACATTGTATATGTCTTGTTTAATAAAGCATCCGGGTAGCACAAGTTGCGTTTTGCTATCTGGCTTTTTAAAAATCTGACCAATGTAATAAGATCGCCTAAATTTCTTTGAAGACAAATCTTACATTGAAGAGAAAGATCCTGAGTAGTATATAAGTAGTTCTTGACTAATGACTACAATAGAGCCAGGAATTATGGCCATAAGTCATGCCGGTCATTAAAAGGTCATAAAACATGTGACTGTACCTGATTCACAACATTTGTTTGTGGCAGATATTAAGCAAGTATAGCAGTCATTAAACAAATGCCACGTTCGCTAAGTGAACCGGCAGTCAGCAGGAATAAGTAGCCTGCAGTACTGCATTCTAACCACTGTGCCACCATGGCTCATTAGATGGGAAACAAAGAGATCAAGAAAACAGAACCTCTTTGCTGTTCTTGTGACTTTTACACCCTTATACTGTATACTGCACGAGTCCAAAAGAGGGCTGTGAAAATATTTACAGACCCCTCACATCCTGGACATAAACTGTTTCAACTCCTTCCCTCAAAACGACGCTATAGAGCCCAACACACCAGAACAACTAGATACCAGGACAGTTTTTCCCCGAACGCCATCACTCTGCTAAATAAATAATTCCCTCAACACTGTCCAATTATTTACTAAGTTTGCATTAATCTTTAATTAATCACTATTAATCTTTTCATCACTCCTTATCACCCATTCCCCCCCCCCCACTTGTGACTGTATGACTGTAACTTTGTCACTTGTATCCTTACGATTTTTATGGACCGTTTCCTAGTATGATTTGATTGGCTGTCGTTAAGTGTTGTACCTTATGATTCTTAAAGAATGTATCTTTTCACTGAGAGCATTTGCATCAAGACAAATTCCTTGTGTGTCCAATCACACTTGGCCAATAAAGAATCCTACAGGTTCTATAAGTTGATGGGGGCGTCCCTGATCCACCTGTCTATTGCAGACTCAGGAATCCTATCCACCCTAAGGACCTCACAGGTGTTAAGGTCTTAATTTTCAGAGTCCCCCTTTTTAAAACGTTAGGCTGTTCCTGCACACGCTTCCCTGTTGTCTATTCTAGGTGTGGCTCCTGCCACTTTCATCTTTTGAGCATTGCCTGACAATGTCCTTGTTTTGCTTTCTCTTTTGCCCTGTGGAATTGCAGCCTGGATCTAAAGAGTCTGAGCTGAAAAATGCCACCTTGACCTCCATACCTGTCAAATACGTCTGTCTTCGCTTCTTCGCGAGCGTCGCCATTTTGATCGGTCTGCCTCTTTCCGCCTCCCTGCCCAGGAGGTGAACATTCTCTTCTCTGTCCACGGCCCTGTTCATGGGCTGCAGAGGCGGGCGAGACTCCCTGGCCACGTGCGTGTGGTAGAAGGCGGGAACTTCGTGGCCCTGCAGCTCTTCCCATTGGAGAAGACCCACGACGGGCATCTCCTGGAAGAAGTCGAAGTTCCACCGCTGCTTCGCCTGTTCCAGGCTGGATCTCATCATGCTCTGGAACTCCTGCAGCAAACTGTCGTGATCCACGGGCCCGAAAAGATTCCTCCTGATGGGGGATGCTTTGGCCGAAATCAGCTCCATCCTCCCCGCCTGCTGCCTGGCGGTTAAACAGAGCGCCTAATACCAAGGCCCTGTTGAGAACAAAGCGAAGTAAATATTGGTTTCTTTGATTCACAAAGGGGTACTGAGAATGAAGCACCGAGGCTCTGTCCCTGAGATTCTCCACTCCTGGTAATAGGGATGAAAACTTAGAGCGGTGTTTTATGACCTGCTGGCTGGGGAATTCTGGGAGTTGAAGTCCACACTTCTTAGAGTTGTCAAAGATGAGAAACACTGACTTAGACTGAGGATTCGATTCCTTTCCTTTCCTTTCTTCCCTCACTCCACGTTCTAATACTCCTCCCTTTTTTCTTTCCTCCCTCCCTTCTTCCCTTTCCATCTTCTTTTCTTTTCCTTCCTTTATCTTCCTTCCTTCCTTCCTTCTTCCCTCCCTCCTTCCCTTCCCTTCCCTTCCATGTCCCTGCCTTCTTTTCTGTCAGAAATGATGTAGGGTTTCCTGCTTTTGGGGGGTGGGGTGGGAGTGGGGGGTTAGACTAGATGACCTACAAGATCCCTTCCAACCTATTCTATTCTATTCTATTCTATTCTATTCTATTCTATTCTATTCT